TGATGCCAGGCATCTATAACGTGTACCACTGGCGTTGCACAAATGTAATGCCTTATGTAATCAGGGTTAGGTAATTCCTGCAACCCTACCTGACCTCTCTAACACCATCATAATATCATAATAATAAGCTGTAAATTATAATCATACATATCAAATGAGTGTGGTTTTATTAGAACCAGCATATGGGAATTTTTGGTTGTCACCGGGAAAACAAGTTCGAAGTATTACAACCAAAGAGAAATTTTCATATTTTTGTATGTAAAACTTACTACAGAGGTCGTGGGAGCTTCTAGAATGTTTTCTGAGCTATTAGGAGTATGCTCTAAAGGTCTATCTAGGTGGCTATACCAAAATAAACTTTTGGGAGTTGAGTGCCCATATGCTGGTTCTAATAAAACCACAGTCAAATGTAAAATTAGTGTAAATTTTAAATATATAGACTTATAAAATACAAATCGAGGCTTCTTGTGCTGCACTAACTTGATGGTGAGAGTTGTACCTTTTTTTGACAATGCTTTCATATTCAGCTGAAGCCTATGTGACCTCAGACCTGTAAGACTCCCATATGTGTACTATCTTAGCTCAATATTTCCAGATAACCTGATACTCAATGAAATTAATTTCATTGTGGAAGGCAGGAGAAAATATGACCTCATTCCTCACATTTAGAATTGCTTGTTGTGGCTGGCTTTTCTGACTTTTAAAATCAGATTGAGCAGTAAGTAAAGCCCAAGCACAGCAGCTTCCACCATCTAGACATTTAGGATTTACTTTTTTTGACTTGCCAGAAGAAGATAGGATAGAACATTGAGTAAGAAATTAAGATCTACTATGCGGCCATAGACCATGCTCTGTGAGGACCAATCTTAAACCCTTTGGTTTATCATCTGGGAAGATGAGAGACTGAATATAGCTCCTAACTGGATGTGTCAAATAAGTAACAAAGATATGATATAACATATTTGACCTGATGTTGGGACACTCACTAGTTATAGGATACCTGTTAAAATCTAACTAGTGAAATTGAAATTTAAACAATGGGTCCAATTAGGCATCAAATGATTTTATACTCAACTATAATGTACATAATACTCTCTAGTTTCAGGCTATGAAAAGATATTTTTTTCTTGTTATATTAGAACATTAGTTTTTGGCCTAGAACCGTGATATATATATAATTTGCAACAACAAAATTGATGATACCAATAATAAAGTAAAATAAGTAAAGTTGGAAAGATTATAGTATGAGGGCATTCCCTAGGGTCTATTCGATGATATCCTAAGGCTGTGTGAGAGTTCCTGTCTTATTTAATTAGAGTTGTTGATTTGAAGTATCCGACCTTTCTGTACTCTGCTTCTTAGACTTTTCTCATACAACCAACCTCTTCAAAGACCTTTCTGAACACCCTACATTCACCAATCCCTTCCCCTCAGGATACAAAGGAAATTCATCTTCAAGATGCCTTGAAGGCCCATGAGGCTAATCCTAACCATTCCCTATGCCAATTGTCCCTCATGTTTGATGTACTGAAATCTACACTGCATAATAGAATCTCACAACATTCAACACCAGCAAAGACAGCTCATGAATCACAGCAGCTTCTCACCAACTCTGAGGAGCAAGCATTGAGGACATAGATTAAGAAGTGGGATGACAACGGATTCCCAACTCGCCGCAGACATGTCTATCAAATGGTTTAGAGTCTTCTTCGTACACGGAATTCAAGTGACCAAGTTGGTGAGCATTGGTTGAGCCACTTCTTGGGTTGTCATCCGGATTGGGATTCCAAAGTAGAGCTGTGTTTGGATAGGGAGAGGGCTCTAGCCACAGACTTAGACTCCTTTAAAATGCACCTTGATCACTTTTATCACATTCGATGCAAGTTCCATGTCAAGGATGAGAACACTTGGAATACTGACGAGAAGGGATTCGCTCTTAGATTAGGAGGAGCGGGGACTATGATTTGCCATGCCTCACTTTGAAATTCGAACTTCATCGAGGATGGTGGTCATGATTGGGTTACAGTTGTTGAAGCAATATTGGATGGAGCCAAAGTCTTGTCTCCTCTCATTATCTTTAGGACAAATGCCCACTTGATGGAACACTACACGAATATTGAAATTGAAGAGAAGGAAGATGCTTTCTTTGCCACCTCCCCCAAAGGTTACACCAACACTGCTATCACCTTTCAGTGGTTTCAGGAACTATTTGAACCACAAATCCGTTCTCTGGCTGGTATCAATCAGCATCATATTCTTGTTTTTGATGGACATTCAACCCATGTGGAGAACTATGAGTTCATCAAGTAAGCTATCGACCACAACATTCACCTTCTTTGTCTTCCCTCCCAATCTACTTACGTTCTCCAACCTCCTCATGTTGGCATCTTCAGTCCTCTCATAACCTATTATAAGCAAGAGCTTGAAGATCGTGTATGTCAGCAAGGCCCATATGGTACAATTAAGAAGGAGGACATCTTTCCAATGCTTCAGAGAGCAAGACAAAACACCTTTTCGCCAGAAATGATCAAGTCAGCCTGGCGTGCCTGTGGGCTGATCCCTTTCAACAGAAATCACATTTTAAAAGATCCTATCTTGCAGGCAAATATGGTCCCAGAGACTCCATTAGCCACCTGACGCCCTGGTCTTCGTCTATCAGCTGGAAGAGTCATTGGAGCTCCTGAGCTTGATCATATTGAACACTGTAATCAGCAAATAGAGGAAACTCCTGTCAATAGAGCTCTCAAGGACCTCTTAACCCAGTGTATCAAAGAAGCCAGAAGTCTCAATGCTGCAAAGGTTATTGCTGAGGAAGAGATTGCAAAAGTCCAACAACTAGCAAAGCCAGCTAAAGCTGATCGAAGGCAACTACGTGGTGGACTTCTACGCAGCTCCAAGCACTTGGCTAAGTTATATCACAAGCACATGGAACTTGATAAAAAAAAGGCTGAGGCTGCAGCAAAGCGTAAGGAGACTAAAGCCCCAGTTAGGAGAAAGACACCATCCAAGATGAGCCAAAGAAGCAAGGCATACCTAAACCATGGTGAAGATGCTATCACACCTAGCTCGGGTGGTGAGGACTCCGAGAGCAACAGTGATGAAGAAATAGTTGAGAATCAACCACACCAAGCCACCCATAATGTAAGTCTTCGCATTAGTTAATTTTCACTTTCAGCAAATCTAACGAATTGACTCCAACAGAAGTCTAATCTACCTGCTACCACTTGCCCAGTGCAGTCCAGAACCACCTCTACCGATGCCAGGCAGTAGAATAATTTTAGAATTTTGTCTCATTTCAAAAACCTTGCACTTGTAAGTTAATCATAAATTATTACTCTTAGGATAAATTAACTCATAGAGATAGCTCCATTAGGTCAGTCGAAATAGATTTGACAGGAGTGATTGGGATAGAAACTGGCTCTATGGATACCAATTTGTAGCGTAATTGATATGGTATTGTTTAAGTTACCACAGTTTTTCCATCAAGTAGTCATATTTAATTTGGTGTCCCATAACTAGTGAGTGTCCCAACACCAGGTCAAATACGTTACTCAGTATCATATCTGTCTGAATATAAATTCACAAAGAAAAACTATAGCCTTCTCAAAAATCACCCTAACCCTGATTACATAAGGCATTACATTTGTGCAACGCCAGTGGTACACATTATAGACGCCTGGCATCATACATGAACTAGGAACTGCTTTGACAGTCTACCAGATCAATTCCTGTGCAAGACAATGTAGAAACACCTGGATGTGAGTCACATATATGAGGTGTTGCACAATATATTCCCTAGTGTCCCAAGGCAATCTAAGGGAACCAGACAAACATCCTAGCAATTAAACTCGTAATACTTTAGCGAAGAGCATTCCAGGCAGGTGTCACAATGTTATAGAAACACGTATAGTATAATGGATCCTACTGTCCTGATCATACACAGCAAAACGAAACTCTAGCATCATCAAAAGCAACTTCAACAAGACTGTAAAAGAGCCAGCGCGGAAACAATGCCATCACCATGGAACTCGGCCCGTTGAGGGCACGAGGGTAGCAGGTACAATTAATGGTGCTAGAATTGAGGAGAATTCACACATATACAGTCCACTATTCCCTCAAGTACCAGTTCCTTGGTAACAGTACTACTTTTGAACGTCGGATCAGCGGAAGCTATCGCGATATCGAAAAGGAACGAACGAAAGGCGAATGGCGAACCAGCAGCGAAAGGAACGGCGGTACGAAGGAACGGCGCAACGAAACGAAGTGCACGAGTGATGGGCTGTGCAGCGAAACGCAAAGATCACTCACGTGAAAGGATCGCACAACTCCCAGGCGTGGAGAAAACTGTTCACCCCGTCAATCTCACTCTCTATAGAGCGTTCTAGCTAACTAAATAACGGTAAAGACAGGAGTATATATCAACGACACAAAAACGGCAAGGTCCTAACCCTCCAGGTCCGCCTGCCACACTAGCGAACAAGAAAGGCTAAAGAAGGAAAGACGAACTTCGGCCCTCCTTGTGTCCTTTTCGCTTTCCTTCGTGACTTCCTTCCAGTCTTCTCGCCATCCTTCCGGTGGATCCACTGCTCCAAGACTCCAGCACATTCCCCCGACCGAAGTGCTTTCGCGAAAAGCAAAGCTGCGCGGGCGGAACCCAAAGTACGCCCGAAACCAGAAAGAAAAAGCGCCGGAACAAACAAGCAAACTGTCCTGGGAGAGCATGCCAGGCGGCGCCCCGCGATTTCCAACAAGTGCCCTCGCCGTATTTGCATGCGACTTCTTGCCTGGCTTATACAGGCTCCCTGGTGGCGTCTTGAAGCCTACCGGTTAAGAGTATATGGGCAACAGGGGATGATGTGATCATGTGCATCTTCCTGAGTAGGGATGTTGAGTGTTGGGGAGAGATGATTCTTGGTGTGGCGTACACCATTGGAGACGAGGGTTTGGATGCGTGAAGGGCATGAGGTTGGAGTGAGTAGTCACATGTTGTTCAGTGTCTTGTAGTTAGCTGGGAGCCTCTCTCCTGAGAACAGTAGCGAAGTTCCTTTTGTTGCAATTCGAATCGGATAGTCGGTGCTTGTTGAATACGTGACGCTTCGTTCCCACTGGAATCGGTATTTTGTATTCTGTAATTGTCCCTGCCCCACTCTCTTCCTCCCCCATGACCTTCTGGCTTTACATACACTTTCAAAGAAGGAGAACTCCCCCCTAGCTTCCTAACATGATTGTACCAACTTCACTTTTTACCCCGCTTTCTACTGTCTCCTTGTGTTTCTTTTCTCTTTGCTTTACCCCGCTTTTTCAACCAATCGCTCTTCCCCTTACCTCCACGTGTAGTACATTTTCTTTCTTTCCCCCGGCTTGCTTCATACTATATAGGCTCAATAAGCTCCAGAACCTTCTACCCCTTGACAAATAACAAACTCATAAGCATTACAAATATAACGTCAACACAGGGATGGGAGGTTTCTCCAATACCCCTCTCTCATGCTAGCCGGAGTGCCGGTGACTTACAATACCTTTCTCCTCCACCACCGTTGTCTGTGTTTTTCCACCGATCCCACCGCACAACACTACCGGTAGCAGCGCTCCCTTATTATAGCCTAGTGGAGATGCTGTAGTTCAGTAAGGGCTCTATAACGCCCCAACAGGAGCAGGAGCTTGTTCTCCATGTCTATATTTAGCTAGAGGCTAACATGCAAGATAACGGGGGAGGCATAGTATTTACAAAATCTATAACATATCCGTAGTTCCAAGTTGTCTATCCATGTAGCTACAAACAATCGGGCTTCCATGGCACTTGGCCTCAAGCACAATTTCATTGTCTTGTTCAATGAGATAAGAACATTAAGAGGGTGCGTGGCGCTAGTGACTTCGGGTATTTGTCCAGTGACCGCTGCCTATATCTCCTACTCTGAACCAACCTCTATTCTCACACAAGCTCACCCAAGATGCCTCTGGACTGCAACTATCCAGCTCCCATTGGGACAGAGAATATTCAGTATTAAAACGTACATAGGACATACCCTACTATCCTAGAAACTGCTTTAACAATAACACTGAATTTCATCACACTTTAGTATTCCATACCCCCCCATACGCACTTCGTCCCTCTTCCGGATTGGCCATGACACCTTCCTCCGCTACCGCATTCCCTATTCTGCAGCTCCTTGATCTTCAGTTGTATGTATTGCTCCACCCCTGCGGTATAGATGCGGGGTCCTCACGGGGTTATGGTTCAAGCCACTCAAAACGTGTACCAGACCTGTCAATTTCAAATCCTTAAGGCTGTATGGAAGTAAGTACATATGAGAAAAAGAAACCTGTTTATTATTCTCCTTCATCTCCTCTTTCAGAAACAGGTTCTTTTTCCAAACTTGGTGTTACCCCTACAAACCCTTCAGGATTTGAAATTGACTGGTCGGATACACCTTTTGGGTGGCTTGATCCATGCAAGGAAGGTAAACTCCTGATGCCCAATGGTCTCTCGCACTCCCCAAATATTTAGTCTCTAACTTCTCCTCATCTATCAATCAGATCAGTTTGGCTCGGGGACTGGCTAGAGACTTTCACCCACCGATGTATCTCCCTCATTCAAAGGCTTCCATGATCCCGCGCGCATCAAACAACCCATCGCAGCATAGGAGTGGCAGGACTGTAATGGAACCAGACAAGAGCTGGCCCCGCTGCTACATGACGGAACCTAGGATCGCAATTCCCCTCTTCCCGGGCCACAACCGTGACCCGTTGGCACTAATGAGCCATAGCGCCCGCCCCCGACCAGCTCACAGGAATCTCTTTTCCCACTTTTACCTTATTTTTTCTTTTGTGGGTATCGACAGATGGGCCTGTTCCCCGAGAGACCGATGCTGGAAGCAAAATATTTAGGTTTCAAAAGCAACAAGACCCTCCCATGCTAGAGAATCCTCCCTGATATCTGGTATTACTCCGTTTCAGCAATTGACATTTTTGCCCGGACTTACCGCACAGTATTGTTTTCCCTATCCGCATCCTTACAGCCAGAGTTGCCCAAGTTCAATCTTCCTCTTCCGTTCCTATAATGCGGGGCGGGAGTGGTAGGGAAAAGGAAACAAAGTGAACTTGCAGTCACACAAAATCACTCGCAGCCGAATTGACAGACGAGTGATATTTCAGGCCTTCAGGTAAAGTTGTCTAATGGTGAGAAAGGCAATTGAATAGCGAAGTGTTAATCTTGAAACGGTATGATATTGTGTCCCACTCTAAGAGCACACAGCCGACTTACCTCCACCCCAAAATCAACCTTGAACACACGATTCAAGCCACCACCACCCCGCGACTATAAGGCATTACGGCAATCCCCCTTCTCCCCCAACAGAGTCAATGTGTGCTCCACAACTACCACTATCGGCAAGCCACCCATATCGAAGCGCGAATACAACACTCAATATTAGTATTGACACCTCCCTTACGTTAACGGCCCACCACAATCACCCAATATGTACAGCCCTGAAAATGGGAAAAGTCCAGCAGGCCTCCTGCCCCCACCTCCAGTAGTAGAAATCATTGAGAAGGCGGGAGCCCTGCCAGTCCAGAAAATGGCCAAGAAGGGCCATCTTCAGCCGGCAAAAGCAAAGGTGGGAGCCAAGGTGAACGCCAAGGCACGCAGATACCGCCCGGGGGAGCGGCGCTGCACGAAATACGTCTATTACAACGGACCGTCAAGGCTGCCATCCCCAAAGCTCCTTTCTACCGCGTTGTGAGTCCATTCCCCTAGTACCTATCCATAGCTTTGCTTGGGGCGATAGAAAAAGGCTAAAGGTGCGGTATATACACAGATCCGGGAGTTGGCTAATGAGCGAGTCATGATGCTGGGGAGGGTAGAGAATTATCGGTGGCAGTCAACGGCCTTGGATGCTCTGAAGGAGGCGGCCGAGGCGTTTTTGGTGCATCTGTTGGAGGATGGGTATCTGTGCGCTATCCATTGCAAGAGGGTTACAATTATGGTCAAGGATATTCAGTTGGCTAGGAGAATTCGGGGCCATTGGGGTGGTCTCGGTTGACTATGGCTCAGGTTTGTAAAGGGCCGTTGGAGTGAAAATTCGGAAGGGGGTTAAACCGGGGAATTAAATACCTTAAAAGTGCCAATCTCTTTTGACTAATAACCGTTGCTGTTATTTGAATTGAAAACTCGTAAGACTCTCTGTAGCTCAAGAATGATATTCTGCTCTTTAACTCAAGTGGACTGCGGGCTAAACCTTCCTGCCTCACCGAGATCGAGGGTGTCGACGAGAGAACTACCCTCCGCAGGTACGTGTCTCAACCTCAGCTCATTGAATGAACGTGGAGTGGGAAGCGCTACTAGCGGTTGGCCATTTCTCTCCCATGCGAATTAATCGCTATGAAGGTGAATGATGATTTGGATTTGATGTTGTCTAGAAGACTGGTGAGGCAGGGAGACAGCTAGGTTCACAGAACCGATCCGAGCAGTGGAATAAAGTACTCGCGCAAATTGCGTTGTAGTCCCCAACGTTTCGTTAATGCCCAAGGCCTTTCCCCGCAGGAGCATGGATAGTAGTGTTCCCCATGAGCCTATTAGAGTCGCGCCCGGCCACTGGCTCGAGCTTGCTCGGCTTGATAGGGAATGGACTCGAGCCGCTCGAGATTTAATGCAGGGCTCGAGCCTCCCAAAATAGGCTCGGGAACTCAGGCTTGAGCCTGGTTTGTTAGTGGTCACATAGTATCACTCGTTAAAACAACCTACAAGGGGACCCGTATTGTGAACCTAGGTAGCGGATATGTTCCAAATATTAAGCGTGAAAAAAAAACTCCAAATTCTACTACAAACATATCAGTTTTCCGCCTAGTCGGCCCCCTACCATACCCGATAATCAGCCTCTCGTGGGCCCGGGCAAATTTAGGAGTAAAGTGGGGCCCCGCCCGTACTGGGCTCCCCGCTCCGAGTTAGGCTAATAGAAATATGTGCAAACCGCTTCCGGGGTCTCGGAAATTTTAAAATTATTAAATTTCTTTCTCTCTGCCTGCCTAGTAGGACCTTCACGACATAGACAAGGTAATATTGGAGATACCGGCCTCTTTTCGTCTTTCCCCTGGTGATTTGCAATGAAAAATAAATCGTTTAAATAAGCTTGAGATTATCTCGAGTATGGCTCGAGCCAAAGTTCAGATGAGCTCGAGTCGGTTCGGCTATAGGCATATGTCGGCTCGCCAAGGTTGAGCCCAGCCTCAGGGCTTCTCAGGGCTTCCCGGCTTGTGGGACACGAACGGAGAGTGCTACGTACTGGATCCAACCGCACGAGGCGGGTGAAAGCCACATAAGAGATGGAGCGGCAAAAAGGTATCAGAGAAGCCCACACAGCCTATAGAAAACCTAGTAGAGGGGATTGAAAGAGCATAATTGTTACCATACTTGGGTTTAGGATTTATGAGACCTGAGGGGTAGCACCTCCGGAAATCAGAGAAACGCTGCCAGGGTGAGGGTGATTGACGACCCGTGACCCGAGGTTGGTTTGTGGGAACTGGCTCAATCGATTATTGGGATAAGAGCGGGAAGTACTGTGCAAGCAGGCCGATCAGGAGGTATTCGGGGTACGTTGGGGCCAAACCCGCCCCATGAGATCCCGGTCCATACTTCTCCTATCACGCCCGTGGGGCAGAAATTAGTGACCAGCCAACCACAAGGAAGAATAACTAGGCATATAAAGCAACATGGCGGAGGGACAGGGGGTAGAACCCTGGGGTCGGGAGAATTGGTGAGAGGATATGGGGGAAAATTACAATAGCGGGTTCCCCTCCTATATTACTTCGCTGATAGTCGGGAAAGTCAAGTGTGGCGCAAAAGCAAGTGCGACACGACCTCTTCTCCTCTTCATAAAGTGATATTTTGTGACTTAATTATATGATAGCAGAAAGGAATAATTGCTAGTTATGTATAATAGCACAAAAATAACATAGTGGCGACATTATTTCAATTAGTTACCACATTAAAATTTTCCAGAATAGAACCTAATGAAACACATGAGCGGGTATTTCTTCCGTTCACTGTACAGTCGAGTCACAAAATATCACTCTATTTTTGTAAAATAAAATAAGAAGTCACGTCACGCTTGCTTTCCCCGATTACGAGCGAAGTGAAATAGGTCCACACAAACCTAACCGAATCGATGCAAAGAACGGAAACAACAAGTGAAGAAAAATTGGCAAACGTACTGTAGGTGCAAGGTTCCACTCTCTTTGTTGCTCGTTCGTCGTCTTTGCTCGGTCGTCTCTCTCTGGTCTCGTCCATCAGCTGTCCACCAGTTGAAAAGGGAAGGGAGAAAAAATCATCTTTTGTCCCTCTCTGGTCCACATCACACCACGGTAGCCAACCACAACCAAACCCTATCAAATCAGACGAAACATAACTAACTTTGCAAAACAAAACCCCGTGTTCACGCTGGGGAACATAAACCCATTTTTACCCGCCACAATATTAAGGCGGAGAAATATATCAGTAGGGGACATCATAACCGAATCCAGAGCTCCACCAAACTAATGTCATATCCTAAGGCCCCTATAGATGTCCGGTAGTTCCCGCATGAGCCCAAGGCGGTTATTGAATAACGTCAAAGTTAGAGTCCGCCAGGCGCACCTTCCAGAACACGCTGACTTGAAGATTTCTAATACATCCCACCGCAGAAACCCGCCGTTGGTTGGGGAAAGTGGCTAGTGGCTGAGGGCTCATGGTGTGGCGTCCCATCAACTCTCAGATGATTATATTTCGACAGGGTAGATGCGTTTCCGACACCGCCTGAGCACAATACCCCCGAATCTCTGCGCCAGAGAGGAGGGGACATCCCACACCTTAAGCAGCTCGGGGAAAGGTAACGTTCTCTAGTGCCTGCTGGATATCGCCCACTGAATGCTATGGTCACTAGCCATCATGTTTTGAACTCTTAACCCATTCTATGATATGGTTGATGCCATCTAGAGAAACCGCCTTGTGGGACGCTTCGGGGGACTCTTCGGGGGACGCGTTGGCATTCAACCCTATTAAGCAATGCTAGGTTTAGGTTCATATCACTAGGGTACTTGATATACATAAAAATGTGCTGCACAATAGTCGAAATACATCAAGTACCTTCGTGGTTTAAACCTAAACCCAACAGTGTTCAGCACGGTTGAATGGCAAAGCGTCCTCCGTTGCGTCCCCCGAGGCTTCCCGCAAGGTGTCGTCTCTAGATGGCATCCACCATATACTGACTGTGGGAAACTGGGCTGCACCTCTAGCATATAATACAAAGGGTCTAGGACACATAATACGGTGGGCGCCTCCTCCAAATCCACAGAACTCATTCAATAGGCCTCGGTAGACCCGGTATAAATTGCGACGCACTACTTAGGTTCCCCAAATTCCAACTACCAAAGCCAAAGAAATAAACACACAGATTTCAAAAAAATAGAATTGCCATGGTTCGTCACCGCGTACACTTCATGTTAGGAACAGATGAGTGGGGTATGCAATCCCCCTCCTTTATCTCGCCGCGAAGTGATTTCTAGGGCTGACACTATTTCAAACAGACGAAGACCCAACTCCTCCAATTTCGGAATATGTAAAGCTATACTCAACTGTCACGTCCGCAACCGCAATCGAAACTCAATCCGTTGCCAAAAATGTCTCGTGGTGCGAAGAGAACAAAGTGGATGGGATCTGGGAAGAGATTGTACGAGTCAGAGAACTATCTTGCAGAAATCCAAAATTCAACGGGTGGACCGCGGACGAAATCATTGACAGCTTGCTCATCGATGAATACCAGATCCGTTGGGAAGCTGCTAGAGAGGCGGATGAGGCGCAGGAGAGGGCAAGAATTGAGGAAGAGGAGAGAGAGGAATGGGAATTCCCAACAGCAGATACGCCCTCGACAGATTTGACGTCATCTCTGGAAGAGGTTGTGAACCACCCTAGATCTGCGGTGGTCGAGCTCGGCAACTTAGAGCATCTTGAGATTTTAGCTAACAATCGAATTAATACGATGACAAACGAGAGGTTTAGTGCTGGAACGAGCCAGCGTTTGGAGGAAGAATGGGGTGTTTGGTCTGATGAAGGAGAAGAAGAGGAAGAGGTTGTCACAAACCCAGAATTTATTGAGGGATGTCAGAGAGTTGGCCCAACAGTAGGGAAACAGGAGAGTGAGAACAAAGAAAAGGTTCGGAGGGTCTGGCGTTATCATGGGAAGGGGGAAGGATAACACTGGATCTTTAGGCTCTTGTGAAATTTAATTCTTTCTCGATGTTCCCCCGGTGGTTTAGTTCCATTGATTTTCCTTCAATGTCTTACTTGTGATAGCTAAGCCCGAGGGAGGGGTGCTTAAGTTTGGGAAATCGAGCCCTGGAGGCAAACTATCGGATTCAGAGCCCAGATACCATCATCTCGGGTCTGTGGGTTTGATTAGAGGAGGATATTCGAGCACAGAAATTGTTCGCTCCCAAGGAGATCACTTCGCTATCCATTAAGATCAAGCCGAAATATCGTCTCTCGTAAACATGACTCAGTGCTACCATGGCACAAGTGAAGAAGGGCTCGGAAGTATGGAGTGACAGGAGCAGGTAAAGAGGAGTAATAGTGGTTATCCTCTACTCAAATCTTATCCCCAGAGGCAGATAGCACATTCCCCCTTGGCAAGGGAGCGATGCCCACCTGAAAGATAGAAGCCATAGATGCCACCCCACGCCCAATCCATTTTTCATATCCTTTTCGCTTCGCGGAACCAGGGATGTTCCCGCAACCTATGCCTCCAAGTGGGCCAGGCCCACAAAGTCTCTATAGGCCTCCTGTACGACTGACGGAAAACTCAATTCACCCCGGGACACCACAAGAAAACAAAAACAACCAAAAACAACGAGAATCGGGAAAAGAAGCCACACATTTGTGTTCGCCAGGCCACATATTGGTTGGACGTTCAATCTTACACCAGGTAACTTGGTAGCTTATTTATCCCTTCGCAAACTTTACACTCGCTGCCTAGAAACACAAAGAACACCACAGCAATCATGATGACCAAAACAAAGGGAGAGCCGCGGGTATAACCCTACCTCCGGTCCAGTATCATACCTCAAGCGGGGGCCCACAGATTTATGCCCTGATTGGCATGCCACCTGAAAAAGAAAACTGAGTTTTCCACAAAACAAAGGATCCTTTAGAATAAAAATACCGAGTGTTGATGGAAATACTGATGTTTGGCCATGACCAATGTCCTCAGTATTTTAACTGTGTGGATGGACTGAAGTTTTTTTTTTTGTTTTAGGGTATAAGAGAAGAAACCATAGTGAAAGGTATAAGGGTTTGACAGTGCTGAAATTGGAAAATATGAAGACAGAAAACATTTTTTCTGTGCTTGTTGTATCATAATTGAAAATTATATTAATTGTTAAGAACCCTTTTTGCTGAAATATATAGCTAGAATTTACCTCACTCTTTATTTACAATGTACACTAAAAATCCGAGGAAGCACTTCCTTGTCCTAATCCCCAGTCTCTAATAAATAATACTATTCCTACTATTGTGGAACAAAAATAGCTATACCATAATAGAAATAGGTTTCCGGGAAATACTGCACAAGGCAAATATAAACTGAAGTATAAAAATACCACGGTATTGGTGTACATGCCGAACACACCACAGTTTATTTATCCTGTCACGTAGAAATACTTAGGAAAAATGGAAATACCATGGTGCTTGTGGCATGCCAAACAGGGCCTTAGTTGACCAAAACTCTGTTTGCAAGCATCAAAGGCCAGCAACCTTCAGTTTCCTCAGAGTCCCTCTTCACCTTCCTTCTGGAAAGCAGCAAAGAGAAGGTGGTTTCATTACCCTCGGGGCGCCTGTATGCCCTATCATGGGCCCTCTTGGTGGAAATCTCTTGCTGTCGACCGAGTTGACTATTCGGCATTGCTTACGAGAGAGAATTTAGAATACTATGTGGTTGGCAAAATCACCTTTCGGGTAACATCGGCGGGGAAGTGTACTATCGGAGGTGTGAGACCTTTAGGTACTGCTACCGTATTTTAACCCCTAGTAAACCTGCTTATAAAATGCCGGGGTAAGAGGTCAATAGAAACAGTTGAAAACTGAATATAGCTGATGGCTGAAGAGGCACTTTCTGTCTGTTTTCCTACGTTCGGCCAGTGGCTAAATCCCCAGGGTGGTTTCAGGGGAAAGTATTCCGAGTGGGTCCCTAAGCTACACTTCAATTACAACCCCTTGCTCAGTCCATACGGAAATACAGGGGGGAAATTCCGGAAATAATATATTAGCGTGCCCCAAGTAGTTGTTGGACCTTTGCCGTAAGGGTTCCTGCGGTTTGTTGACCCTGTTTGATAAAAAAAAAAGTTTCAAGTCTTGGATTATATTCCGATAGCGATTGTATACGAGCGGGTCCACCGCCAAACGCACGGTATTGAAAGTTTTTCTCCCCTGCACGGGCGCCAGGATCCGCGCCAAGTGATAGTGGTGGCTGACGCATACTGTCTGTCGATGGGATGGGAGGTTGAGAGAAGTGTGTTGTTTTTCCATGCAGGATGGCTAGCTATCTAATACATATCATGGGTGGAAGAACCTCAAGTGGATAAACACTTGCGCTCATCTGCGTACTCAAAGCGCAACACACATGTATATGGTGCGAAGCGACTACAACCTGTCCCAACTCCGTTTCAAAATGTAATGCCTTCTATAAGCAGGGTTAGGAGTAATGATGGCCATTGCTGAGACCTTCTCACAGTCTTTGTCGTCTTGCTCTCAAATGTAAAGTATTTGGATTTTCAGGGTTTACTACAGGATGGCTAACCTGATGTGGCATTTGGCCGTTCCTGGTTCTATAAATTGTTTTTTTTTTAAAAAAAGTAGTTCCGTATTCACAACAAGTAGTTGAAAGAACAGGAAATTGGAAAGTACATAAAATTACTCTATTACATACACACTCCTTGCAAGTGAATCAACAAATTTTACGAATAACATTTTATCATACAGGGCATACAGAATCTCAAACCACAAATGGTTATCATCACCCCTAATCCTGCTTATATAAGGCATTACATTTTGGGACGGCGTTGGGACAGGTTGTAGTCGCTTTGCACCGTACCTCCACTCATAAATTTCCCCTACATGTCTGCACACACCTGTATCCCTCTCCTCTGCCATGCCTGTACTCCCAACACCATAAAACTCTACTACGGGGATTATAGTACCATCACCAAGGGAAGGTGGTCCGAGAGTCTGACAACATAGAGACTGGCACCCGTTTGGGAGTTTGACACAATAAGATGTCATGCACAGAACCCTGGGCAGGTGGTCCACAATTTCCTGTTCCGGAAACGGGAGGGTAACAGAGCGCAAGGCTTGGGGGCTCGAAGGAGCAACATTTGAAATGATAGCTATCTCAAAACAAATTTTGCTAGACCTCGTTGGGTAAAATAGAAAACATCAAGACTTCAGGTTAATCTTTTCAGATCTTCCATTCTAGGAGGCATTTCTGTGCGCTTTAACGTGCCGGTAACACCTTTTTATGTAAACGGTAGTGACTAAAAATTTACTAAGAGGGTGTTTGGCATTCTATGTGTTGAGATGACCATCTGTTCTACACTTGTTCCACCGGTTATCCTGACCAGAATTTTGCTTAATATCACATTTAACATGCTTTAACACCTTTAAACATATTCTAGTAACACCTCATGTCAGGGACACCGTGTGTAGAACACACGGTCATCCCAACATCCGGGCTGCTAAACACCCCCGAAGAATTGTTCCAAAACGGTGACATGCAAGACAAGGACCATCAACTCAATACGCATTTTGAGACGGCTAATGGCAGGGATGACAGAGTGCCAAACAGTCCCCTTCGAGCTGCATAACCTCCTAGCGGGTATTTGGGAAAGATGAGACAATACAACAGGCAGAGGACCGCTCTGCAAGCAAGACCATTCAATTATGTGGGACCTTATAGTCTCCGACGGCTGTACAACCAGACTATATCTATATATATTTTCTCTTGGCCTCGTGAATCGTGGGCATAATCCGAGCTCCACCACGATATCGCAGGCCAGGTTAGGGTGCAGACCTCTCGGGGGTTGTGTGCGATTGGGGTTCACGATGCCGAACCTTCTGCTGAGCAATTCCCCAAGAGAAAATCTTATACCAGTGACAACTGACCCAAGCAAACCAAATTAGGGCACCGTTCACTCCCCATTGAGCTCATCTCTTCGCCCAATTAACTCTCCGGTCCACCATTGCCATTGAGACTCAATAGAGGCATTCTCATTCAGTCCTCCCTCCCCAGTCACCAGTCTCAATAGCTCTTCTCTCTCACACCCACCCACGCCTTTTCCTCCCCACCGATTCCACAATTTCCTTCACCAACCTTTTCACGAGGCGAAAATTTTATCCTCTTTGCCTATTTTCACCCTCCCTATCACAGGCGCAAACTCGATTCCTCACGCATCAATTTTTCATCATGTCCAAGTTTGTCAATTATATTTTTGCCGCTTCCTTCTCCTCATTGGAAGCGCCTTTGCCGCAACCCCTGTGCCGCAAATTCACTGGCACCACTATCCCTCGGGCGTACGTCGTGGACCCATTCAAAGTTGCAGCGCAGTATGACGCGGTCGATTTCTATTCCAATCAACCTCTCACGCTTGACAAGCGGGCGCCGTCAGGCTATTGTGCATCCTTCCCTCCGCCAGATATTTACATCAAGTATACTAATCATAACCAGTCTCAGCATTCAAGAATTCGTGGGGCGCAGGGCATTTCGAAGCCCAGGCCAAGCAATCTAAATCTGGTGGAGAAAGAAATTTCTCTCGAAAGAAGCGCAGCGCCCCCCCAAAGCTGGCGCGAAGAAAACATGACATTGTTCGCTACGAATTAAGGCCTAGATTGCCATTCGTCCTTGAGCATCGCCTCTGGTACCCTGTCGAACAAGCTTGGCAGATATATAATTACGACAAGAGCTACCTTTCTTCCGTCCAAATTGAACGCCTCGAAGCTTTGCACAAGGAGAGAAATGACGCTTTAGAAATGATGAGGGGCGGGCACTTCTCGTATTGGAGACTGGTCAGAGACGCGGAAATCGGGATGTTTGGAGACTCGCCAGAGTTTGGAAGCAGGCCAAAGTCCGGAAGGAAAACCCCTTTAGTCGGTCGAGGGATATCTGAGCTATTCTCGTATAAGGTCAGGCGGGGAAAGTCTGCTCGTTTTCGGGCTGCGGACGGCTTCCAGATCAAGGGTCCACAATTGGAGGTAATTTTCCTGCACGATCCCCGCGCTCACCTGTGATAATCGGAAGGCGGTTTCAGCTGCCCCCACACAAATTTACGCAGAAATTTCTATGCTCAACACGGCCAGACCCGTGCAATGGAGCACCTTCCCTCGAAACCTGTACTAACAAAAGTGAATCAGACAAGTGTCGGATCGCGCGCCCAAGAAAACAAACCTGCATTTAGTCCACGGGTTCACGGTCAAGCCTTGGAATGTGAGTATAGGACCCCTCGGCTTTGGATTGACGCGGAAAAGTACTAAAACCCTTGGAAGGCATTGCGGAAGAGGATATCCCTGAACCACCTGCAAGAAAGTCAGTGCGCCCATTAGGATGCACGCAATCTGTTCAAGATAAAATCACGGTCTCTTCAAAATCTGCCTGCCTCCCGGCGGTACAATCGTTGGTCAACGCTATGCCGGAGCCTTGGAATACGACGCTAGAATCGCTGAATACCAAAAGGCGACAAAGCATTGACTCTGGCTTTGCCGAATCGCGCAGTATGAGTTCTTCAGAGGCACCGTCGGCACCGTCACCACCAAACGCAAGTGATTCGATGGCTGCCGAAGCACCAGCACCTGCGCTTGACGACATAGCCGATCCATTCCGTCAAGAATATTGTGCAACAGTTTCTCAGACACATCAGAGCTACAGTTTCCCACTTTATGAGGAGAATTTGAGCAGAGTTCAATCTGCAGTAGACAAGGCTTCCGGTATCAGACAATGCAGTATCGACTCCTTGAAGAGGGTTTGCAGGGCCCGCCGCATGAAATCGGCTGCCGTCATCCTCACGCCGGATATCCAGGAAGAGGAAGGGGTACCACTATTCAAGCCGTGGACCATTGGGGAGCAGAGCATTTCGACCTATCGTAATCCGAGAAAATGGGTTTCGATTGTTAAAGATAAGGTTAGGGGAGTGACGATGTGAGAGTTGAGGATACTTGTTTAGAGCTTGGGCTGTTCGTTCGTTGGAAGTGAGTGCTAGGAAGTGAACGTGGGCATTGTACGGTCGAGATAGCTTGTAGGTGGCTGAGATGGGTAGATGGATTGGTAAACAGATAGATGGATAGATGGATGGATGGATGGTTGGATGGTTGGTTGGTTGGTTGGTTGGTTGGTTGGTTGACCGGAGGGGCCGCGAGATGTATGTTCCTGAGTATCCTCTACATGCACGATATTCACGATCCATAATAAATAATAGATTTGCTTGTTTTCGCCTCCGGCGTAACATGAGATGCTCATAGTTCACCACCCAGGAACCCCGATTGCTGCCCACATCTGAACTAACCGATTATATCAGTGAAACCCGAACAAACCGAAGGAATACTGGACACCCAAAGTCCCTTGCCACTGCGTTCTTCCAGTCCCCTCTGCGCGGTGCCGAGCCTAGACATCCGTGTGATCCTCACACTGCAGGCATGAAGCAATAACACCCCGAACGCCGGACCCATTCATAGTAGACTACTAAAGTCGGAAGTCTAATAAAAAAGGCATTGTGACAGGTACTCTGTTCCTCCTCAACGACACGATGCGGAAGCGTATACTCGGACGGTGGAGCCTCTTTATTCCTAAAGCGCTCGATACCGGAGGGTAGCCAAGAATCTCTCATCATTCGGCCATTCCTTACTAGCCTAGCTAGCCTTTGCTTCCAAACTGGAAGCGCTTAACCCGAAGGTATAAAGCCTCTGTTTGGCACACTCGGTAGGCACCAGGCTCCACGTTGAGGCTTTAGCGGCATATTGCAACGGAAATATATCTCCGCAGCACCACCCACCCCAGCCCGAAGGCCCACCGGAAACACCCCGAACGGGCGGTCATTCTCACCTCAACCGCATTTCGAGGTATCCTGGCCTGTCAAATGGCACTAGAGAAATATCACGAGGGAACTGCCACTCAATCCCGGCCCTGCTGCCGCAGCACACCACCCACTGCCCTCGCCTAATTCCTATACCCGTAAGTGGAGCCATTGAAGAGGTGAATTTCTTTCGAAATTTATTCTTTTGCAATGGGCACCTTACCTTTTTAAGACAGTATACCAATAAACATAACTCACGAGTGATAATCCGTGAATAGTCCACCCGCTCCGCAGGCAAATGCTATCCACTCCCTAATATTCTTACCGAATGTTTCACACATAGCACTAGGGCACTAAGCTCCTGTCTGGTGAGCCCTCATTCTAAATTCAAAATATCTCCGCAATGATGCGGGATTCCAATCCCAGCTAGATAGTTGGCACTTCTCATGGGGGTTTTTATTGAAAATCACCGGGGATCATTCCATCTCCCTCCACTCGCGGTCAATGGATAAATATCGTTTCTCACCAATTTCTATTTGTCGCACCTTTGTCCGTTTATTTTTCTCTATTTGTCATTGATTTCTGATCCATCAAGGGAATGGGTATACCTTGCATAAAACACTCTATCTGGGTGGAACCATGCGATACAAGAAATAGTTGCATACAGCAACGGAGCAGGAAGGTTGATATCAGGTATGAGCCTAGGTACCGGAACTCCGGAGTTAGCTGGAACCTACCGGAGGGATTCCCGGAGGATCCCAGGGTGTTTGGCATTTCCGTCGTTTTTTTCTTTCTCACTGAGGCCGAAACACTGTACCTGGAGGGTGGATGATTTGTCTATATAAAGTCCTTCCTTATCCCGTAGATAAAAGAGACAGCAACAGAGATACAGTGAACTCGTATCTAAAACTACATATCCCATATTCTTATTTCTTCCACTCCTGCCTTCAGTCTTCACAATCACCATTACTTTTACAATAGTTTTCACGCCGTTTTGGTTTTAAAGGTCTCGGAGTACAAAGCTCTAAACACTTCTCTCTCAGCAACCAAACCTGGCGTGTTTGTGGGGCCCAATATCCTTCAAACCGCAATCAATTCCGGGTCCCCCACCACCACCGATCCAAGACCGAAAACACGATGAGACAGAGAGAATAGAAAACTAAGGGATCAAATCTCAAATCTTAAAAAGTACGGATGGTGTAACCAAATAGCGATACCCCGGTGTCTGTTGAATAAGACACCTATCCAAAACCTGCGGTCACTTTCGGCTCCCACCCACCGCGAGATCAAGGAGTGCCCTACCATGTCAACTCCTAGAATACGCCAACAATGGCCTTCTGTTTGCCTCTTTCCAATTAAAAGTGAGGAGGAAAGAGCATCACGAAGTCCCCAGAGGAAACGAGGGAATATTTTTTGACAGTGTAAGAAGACGATTAGAGAAGATGGACCGCTTCCCATGCGCGTGATCAATACGAGGGGGCAATATATCAACTATGGTGCACCTGCGCTTGATCAAAAACACGGGCAAAATACCCAACTCTTTACGAATTGACGTGTATGACCACGCCGTCGCCTAGGATGAGTCAGAACGGGAGATGAATCATTTAAAATTGGCCCCAAGGTCGGAATCTCGAGAATTAGGTTGACTTCTAGCATTGGGAAGGCGATTCAGACGGGTCCTCTATTTACGTGAGCGGTCGAGAGCACAGGCTCGGAGCCATTTGACCTACAGTCCTTTTAAGCGGGTGCTACTTGTGTCACCTTTAGCAGCGTGTTCTCACAATAGGCGAGAGATGGACGTTCAAGCAATTTATCGAACGTTCAATCATTATAGTAATCAAATAATTGCCCCCGTGCGATACAAATGAGGTGTGGGCATATGCTACGCCGGGTCTGGTGTCTCGAGAAGAGGTATTATTAAAAGCATGCCCAATGTGACTATGTGCTTTGAATTCAAACCGAGCTCATACAATATAACAAAAGGTCGAATGAATTATAAGCTTGTTCTCTAAGGTTGCTTCAAGTTTATTCTACGTAATACATGATAGGTGACAATTCTGTGGGAGCTTTTGAGGAAGATGCACACAAAACGACCCATTTGCCTGTCCAACTGTGTGTCTGACGATACTATTGCCCATCACTATATTCTCAGAATTTTCTCCAGCCTACTCGCCAACCTCTACTCACTTGGCACTTGTAGACTTGCACCTCCGTGTTTCAGCTCTCCACATTAAACCTATCACTGGTAGTACTTGGACTGCATTTCCTCTGTCATTGGCATGGATAATCACTCTATTCTTACTGCCTCATGTTCTGTAAGTGCCCACTATATATTAGCCCCCACGGACTGCTGGTGTAAACCACGCCCTTTATCGTCCCGCTCACTAATCCGAATACAAGAGTCTATTTCGCCTATCAATATTGGAGCTCTTTGTCATCTCAATACAGGTTTTGGACTCAGACTGTGTTTGGAGACAACAGCTGTGTTCGGAACACCAGGATTGTGAGACCATTGCCTTGGTAAAACGTCGATACTGGGATTCAATTAAAAGGGATCATGATAGCGGTACTCCAAAGCAGATATTAGTGCCTTCTACGAGTATTGTGTAGGAACTGGGCGCGTTAGGGGTATGCTTGGCATTTTTCCATTTTCTTGAACCCGTTTGGCTAGGCACGTCTTGGGCTATAGTGAAAAGTATCTAAAGCCATGCCCCAGAAACCACCAAAATCAGAAGTCTAACTAGCAGATGATAACAATGAAACTAAATAAATAAACAAATAAACCTCTCGAATGATCCTCTCTCTTAGGAGAAAAAACAAGTGTTTTTTTATTCAATACCAGGTTTTAAGCAAGTAGAATCAGAGGAGTAAATGTGAAATTTTTGGTCGGAGTGGAATAAGCGACGTAATATACTCGGGGATGTGCCGAGTGGTACTGTGGAGTAGAATTATTAAGATAAAAAAACACTGACTAGAATTCCTAATATAAAGGGCTATCGCTGGTACAGATGGTTCCAAGAGCCTTGCAGGAAATATGATACCTCCGTTTACCAAATACTGGTTGAAGAACACCTGTGCATCGGAAGCCTACTGTACTGGACTGCGGTATGGTACATCTGAATTTAATGATGCACAGTGCAAATCGCTTAAAACCTTCACCTCAAATAGGGGTAAAACCGGGGAGCGCATAGCAGAATTAAGGCTCACCATTCTACGAAACAGAAACCGAGAAGAAATAGAGAATCAATAGGGTTTGGTCCCTGCGGTTCTATCCCAGAATATAAGCCAAAAGATTGGTAAAGGCTACTGACGGTAAAGTTGAAGATTTTTGGTGGGGGCGAAATAGGTATCCCACCATTCACCAGAAGGTGTAGAATCTGGACTTAGGAAAAGAGGCAAGCCAGGCATTACTCGAGTATGATATTCTGCATAAGGATCGGTGGTCGAATACCGGTGGTATATTCTGCCCCTTACCTGGGGTGGCCGCCATGTCTTGGCAGTCGCTAGGCACGGCCTGCATCGGTTCGGATAGTTTCCGTGTTCCACTTTTGTTAAGCTTTTAAGCGATCCGCACCGTATTATGTAAAAGCCACCAACGTATCCCACATCCATTGACCCAGGACACAAGTTTATCCCTCTTTTAAATGTATGATACTTGTATTTTAATAGCATATACAGCAAATGTTTGAAATTATGTCGGTGTTTGCAACCTAGCTCATGACCTACAAGCGTATAAGATTTAATTCACGGCTATTGAACAGTTATTTGAGATTAACTCATAAATTAGATTCCTGTCCATTACAGTCAATGAATCTCCTACCCTATTCCTTGTTACCACATCTTACTCATATGGTGCAAAGTGACTGAAACCGGGTCCTGAAAACAGGCAAACCCGATGTTGGATTAGTCCACCACAACAAGGAACTTTTTCAAAAAGAAAACCTCAGAGAGAAAGCCATTCCTGAGGAGAAGAGGCCTGAGGTTTTTTTATTGTGATTAAGTGTTGTATGAAAAATTAGTTCAGGTTCAAAAAGTGAACTTTTTTGTGAGAGTGAAACATGTGATACAATCTACACACTGCAGTGCTGAAACATACTGTGGAGTGGATATGGGTAGGATGAAAATTAATAACGAAAAAATATAGTCCAAAGACCAAAGGTTAGTACAAGGTTATGGAACAGTTATTTGAGGTTAACCAGTTAAATTTATTACTGGTTAAGGAGTTCCTACCCTTAAACCCTATTGCTATGCTTTGTTCAGGGTATAGAACTTGGCACCTCTTGTCATTGCCCGGATCGGATGCAACGGGTTTCACCCGAATTCCTGTTTCATCCGAGCGGAGGACCCACCTTTAGACGCTTTGCCCCGTAACAAGCGCCTCAAACGGCGGGGCGCCAAACAGAGCCCATCCTGAGCCGAGCCCGGCCTCAAGTTCAACGATCCCACTTTGGGAGTCTTGGAATAATGTTATAGTGCAGCCGACCTAAAATATGGACCCGGGATGAAACACATGCCGAAGTGACCGTAGTTGCCCATGCTGAGACCCAACCACTAGAGTGTATATTATCGGCCATTGAGCATACCAGTTCAACCCTGTAGTACAGTAGACCCTTGTCTAGCTCATTTCCTATTAGAAAAATGTCACATTACCCCCGCAGACAATCATTGCTGGACAGCCTATCTGGAGCCCCACCACCTTAGCGTTTATCTCAGTCTGCTGCACTGAACTTTTCAGTACTCTCGCCCTTTTTTTACTCTGATATTTGTTGTTTTGGAGGAGTTATTTCATTGCCGGTTTGTATGTAGTTGGTTGGACCAGGTTTCAAGAAAGTTGAACCATACATATCTAGTCCCTCCATCTTTTCATCATTCATCTTTCCCGAGCATCCCACCGCCAGTGCTCCTCTAGCTATCTCGGATACCAAGTCTTGCGGGTGCCGGGCGTGGTGATTGGAGTGCAAATCATGATGGAATGCCATCCCCCCAGAACCCATTCAGGCGAACCTAGCCCTTAGCATGGCGGTTTGGCCGACCTCAACCACGAAGGAATAGAACGGCCCCGCACCACGATTCCTAACCACGTACATTTGAAAGGTTGTCAACCGAGCCTTTTATTCCCTAGGGGAAAAGATGGCTGATCCGATGACCCCCACCAAACACCCAAGGCTCAACCACCCACTTCCTAACCTCGCACAGAGCACTCCTCCGTAAGAACCCTTCATGGAGAGTGAGCCACAACGCTACTAATAATCACTCAGAGCTTGCGAAACAGGAACTCCCTCCAGCACCAGCTCCTGCACACTTTCCCCAACACCCGGGCCACTCCCACCGGTTGTTCTAACTTCAACAAACCCGATATCGATACGCCGGTACAAAAATACCGGATCATTCAGTCAACCTCTGCGTCCTGCTCTGTATCCGCCCGCGAAGATGCCGGATCTTACTTCATCTCAAACCAAGGGTGGCGGTAGTCTCGCTCGGGAGGACAGTGCGTCAAGCAAAAAATCCAAGGAATCGGTCTTCTCCGAGGGATCCTCCCTCTATCCCCCAAGTGCCAAAAAGTCTTTCAAAAAACACAAGGACACCGTCGACGATATTATGAGCGAAATCGGACAACTTCAGATTTTCAAGTCAGGAGATGTGCCCTTGGAGGATTTGTTGGCAAGACCCGATATCCCCGAGAATGCTACCATCTTGCAAGATTTTCGACAGGGCGTTAAATCCGGTGATATTACATCGCCAGTCTCTTCTCCCTGTACGCCTTCCTCCCCATATTACATTTCATGCCCCTCTAACATTCGACCGCAGCCGTCTCCTCCATCGTCCCTGTTAAGCCGCTACCCGAGCTTCCTGCGAGACCCAGAAAATTGCAGCGACGTCAGAGAAAAGATTCGGTCAAGACCCCTGTTCATGGCGGTATTATATCATCCCCTCTCGAAGCTTCGATGGACGTTCATCCCGGTGAGATTACGCGAGCGGTTACTGTGGCCGACGGCGTTCTTCAATACAGCCCTTATGAATCCTTACGCTCGTATAAGCTATCAGAGCCCACTGTTGAGGAGGATGGTACGCCGTTTTCCCGTCTGTATCCGTAAAGTGAACAATATGTACTAAAGTGAACAGAGAAATTGTCCGCCGATCTCGTCGCTCAAATTAACAAAAACACCAAGCGTGAAGGCGAGCCCACTACGCAGACCCGGGACAGCTATACTAGTGTGTCCTCGGCTGAGTGCTCTGAGGGAACGCCTGCCGATTTGTCTCCGGAACAGCTTCTTGCCGCCCGGAAGGAAAATACCGAGCGCTATGGATGGTAGTGATTCAACGGTTCTCTTTTGTAAAGCTTTTCTATCAAGTTATGGTCTTGTGTCTTTCGGAGATGATATCCAACTTTTCCCACCAAATTGGTAGAATCCAAATACTGGCTGGGTCGGGATAACAGGTTGGAAAAAATAATTCTGTGCGGTTAGTCGAACGCTATGTAATTAGAAGCTCTCGAATATACAAGCTATTCAGCAATGACCAACACTCTTGGGTCTTCTTTCTCTGCCTCCCTCATTACACATGTGGTCCACAAGCAGTGTGTTGGCTTGTGTGGTACTGTCCACTGTGGCCTCGACCTGCACGAAAAAAACCTAACCCTACCTTTCAACCTGGATCTCTCGTTGTGATACCTAGTTTCCCCACTTGATTCCGTTCAAACTATCATACCAGAAGATACTAGTTTCAAAAATCAATGCCATCTTGCTCCAAAAAGAAATTTACTTTGTTTAAACAGGTAAGCTAATCTCACCATTACTCTCCCCTCCCAGCCACCATGCTAAATCATCTCTCCACAGCAACCGCATAGGCCAATGCCGCTCGAAACTCCACCTTCAAAACTCCCCCTTGGGTCTCCTAGGAAAGATCCCTCAATTGAGCTTGGCCTCCCTCCGTCTCCGGCCCTGGCAACCAGCCCGGCATCGATAGCAAACTCTAGAACTAGCACGCTCTCACAATCACCCTCTAATATCTCCTGCCTCAGCACCGGCACCTTCAATCCTAGCCTCCGTCAGTCTAATCATATCATGGACCCGATAAACGTACTCTCGGACCCCCACGAATCCAACCCTTTAATCACTGGAGCACCAGCTACGTCCCCTACGGATGCTACATACAAGCTTCAACAGTTACTCAAGGCTAGGACAACAGATGGGGTACCAGACCTGTCTTCCGAATCGCTGGATGACGTGGTCTCTGTTCATTCTACTGGATCCTCGTTAAAATTTGCCAAGGGCATTGTGTCGGGATTGTTTCGTGGAAACAGAGGCATGGTTCCAGACAGTATGTACTCTTGCTGCTTTTCTCTCCGGGGGCCTGGTTCATGTTAAACGTTCCCGATTAGAACCTTCATATCCAAGTGGAGAGCCCAGCCACTGCTCCGGCGAGCTTTCTAGCCCCGAGCAACAAAGCGGAAATACGACGCCTGCCCCTGGGTCAAGTAGAAGGCTGTTTAGCCCACGGGGGCTATTCCAGAAGCCAGCTATGACGCCGGTAAAAGGGAAAGCTCAAGACCCCCTACCGTTTGAGAGACCAGCAGATACTTCAATGGCTACCGACCCCGCCGAAGAAGCCCTCTCCTCCGACGATGAAGAGGGAAGTTTTTCAGTTTTGAGCCTGGTGCGAAGGTCAAGAGAAAAAAAGGCTTTGGTGCAAGCACTCATGAGTACACCATTACCTGCCGCATTGCTGTCATAAACCCGGGTTACTAAATATCCCAGATACACCCAGCCCGTCCTCGGCCTCCGTTCGAACCCAGATTCACACTCCGTTAGATGGAGGAGAGGACCGTGCTCCCACCTCCGAGAATGAACGTTCAACCTCGCCCTCTGTTCTAACACCTGCCAAACCGAAGCCCAAGAATCCGACCGATTCCAGAGAAAGCGTCATACCTCACGATGATCCGTCGAAAAATGTTCCTTCCGACATCGAAGCGGCTTTCACGAAGAAGAAGGGTGAAACAGGTTTATCCACCGTCAATTTTCTCGTATCTTAGACTAATTAAGCAAAAGAATCTATCCGCAGCTGCCGCAGTACATTCTCAATCCCAGCCCGTGGTATAATCGGCCAGGGCTCTACGAGCAGCGTCTTGGACAGAACTCCGTTAACCAAAGAGACCCGTGAATTCCACTCGAAGCGTGGACGAAAATCAGGCGTTGATGCGCTGACGAGTGCACTGACGAGTCCAACCTACAGACGTAAAATAACATCGTTAACCCCTCCAGACGATTACAAGCTGCCAAATCTTCCGGGATACGTCAGTTTCCCTCCATATATTCCCAGTAGTGGCCTAGCATTGCTATTCGGAAACGGTGAGGAGACCTGGAAGAGCTTAAAAAGGTTTCCGTCATTCCGCACAAAGAAGGGGATGAACGTGGTGGAGGAGATATTGGAGACAAATCCCGGGGCGGGTATCGAGATCGAGAATACAGCGGAAACAGGGGACTCAAGAGTGCGGACGATAGATAAATAAAGCAGGGTCGAATGCAGGCAATAGTAGGTCTAATTTGCCCGGACTATAATTTTACTAGACTGGCGATGGGTTGGAGGTGGGTGCCGTAACTGGGCTCTGTCAATCCAAGCACATAATCTCTGGAACGTTCACGAGATAGGTTCTTCTTTGTAAGGTGCTTTCCACCATTCCCTATTTTGTACTAGTAGCCCAGAACAGAAAATGGCTGTCAAATTACAACATGCCCCACCTCCTAAGCGGTCAATTCCGCTCAACCATCGCCCCGTGTTTAAGATCAAGGATTTCCACCGCCAAACAGCAAGAGAGGGGAGAATGCACTTAACGTGATTTATGGGGATGCGGCTCACTCCTGGCAACAAGTAGAAAATCGAACATATCTTTGATTATCTCTATGAATAATTGTGAGACCACAACAAAAATTTATTACTAAGTGTGTTAAAATATGGGGAACCTGAATATCATGTAAATTATATTTCATAATTATAAACTATCCTGCTTGTAGAGAGTTTTTAAGATAGTTGTTTTCAAACAAAACTACCACTGTTTTCCATGATAATATGAAAGTTGAAAAACAAGTAAGAAGTATCTTTGTAAGTCAATTGAGAGATTGAATAAGTCTTACAAATTCATGGCTAATTGTTTTCTATTTTATTCATCACCAATTTTTAATGTCAGGATACATAGTAGGAACTACTTGAAAGTAAGCAAATTACATACAAATATAGTACATTTGACAATAGCACAACTTGTGGCTGTGATAACTTGCATCTTTAACTTTTTTCATCCTACTTTATAGTACCTATTTGGGTAGGTAGGCTGAATTCAGGGTTAAGTGGATAAATTTTCAATATTATGTACCTTTATTATTGAACAGAACTACACATTATAAACAAACTACCATACAATTATAAGATTATAAAGATAAAACCTCTACACTGTCCTAAACTTTACTAATAGTGTTTCAAGGGTTTTTTGAATATTCTAGATAATTTGCATACATATGGGTGCATTTATGTGAAAACAACTCAGATAACGACTGCCAACAACTATAAAACAGGTTCAATGGCTCTAAGGATTTAGTAGAAGCTAGAGTACTCCTTGGGCTTTTGGAAATATATTTAATTTTAAAATTCAAGTGATATTGGACCTGTAATGATTATTTTGAAATTCAGAGTTAAAATCTTTTTTTACATAAAATTAAAGTCAATCTTTGAATGTACCTATATGTGAAAATTCAAATATTTTCAAGAGTAGCATCTGTAGTTATTATAAAGTTTATCAAAATATCTTCATGTTCTTGAAAATTTCCAGACATTTTAAACCCACATGAAGAATAATAAATGCAACAAAGATTGAAGTAAGTGTTTAAGAGTAAAGACTAAGATCTATATTAGTTTTGCTCACTCACTCTTATAACCTTTCTTAATATATAATATTAATAGATAATCTTAATTTGAATCTATTAAGTTTATATAAAAGAAAAACTTTTTATATAGAGTTAAAGCCCCAACTTGAGTGGTTCTTATTTTGTATTTTGATGTTATTTATGTGATAGGTGGTAGGACCATTTCAATTTCTTTGTCAAAAAATGGTTTTCTGATTTTCTGAAAAGTGTTCTGGTTGGCATGCAAGCTAAAACTGCTCATAACTCAAAACTCCTAAAAAGCAATCTTACTCCTTTTCCCTGAGCTGAACCTATATTTGGTCAGAATAATCGGATTATGTTAATCAAAATCAGAGATATTAGCTATTGTTAACATATTTCAATTAATTTATAAATTCAAGGACATACTAGTCTTTAACCAAACACTGAAGATTATATTATAGTCTCCTGCTCAAAGTAAGCCTATAGGCAGGTTTTTAAGTAGTTAGAAATTGAATCATTGGTACTAATTATTTTAGCATAATATAAAGGCTTACAGTTATTGATTTCCTTTCTTACTTGTAATATTAACTTGAGTATAGAATATGGAAAGGTTTTCTGTGCAATCTCAAAATTTGTATACTTCCATATACTGTTATTGTACGGTAGATTTTAAAAAGTCAAATTACCAGTTATGATAGTAACAAGTTATTCTACTATCAAATATGCTAAATTTGTATGTAGTTTACTTACTCTCTATTAATTCCTACTAGGTACTACAACATTAAAAATAGCAATAAATAAAAGAGAGAACTATTGACCGGGAGCTTTTAGGACTTGTTCAATCTCTCAATTCACTTATAAAGATACTTCTTACAGGTTTTTCAATTTTTATATGACAGAAAGCTATAATCGTTTTTTTTTTTGAAAAAAACAATTTTAAAAACCCTGTACAACCAGAATAGTTTATAATTATGAAATATAATTTATATATTCAAATTCCCCATATTTCAACTCACTTACTAATAAAATTTCAATGTGGTCTCACAATTATTCATAGAGATAATCACAAATATATTTGATTTTCTGCAGGTTGCCAGGAGTGAGCCGCATCCCGGTCGTGAGCCGCTTCCCCATAAATCACGTTACTTAGTTCTCAATACCAACTCCAAGCAAAGAACACCACCGGAGTGGGAGGTAGTCGACCGGCAGCCATCGCTCAGCTGCCAAATACTTCTCTACTTGGGAGAAATCCTAAATATCGAAACGAAACTTGTTACCCGTGATACTCAGAACCCCGCATACAGCAGCCAAGCCAAGATAGTCCATTCCAAGAAGTCTCAATTGGGGGGAAATACATAACACAAGTCGACAGACGGGAGATCTATAGCAGGAGTTTCAGGAAAGGGTTATATTCCTCGCCTAAGACCTCTTACCCAAATCACAGCCTTAGTGGAGTAATATGATAGGGATTGCTTAGTGCATAGACAGAGAGTAAAGGAGGGGGGAAATTTCCGGGTTTTCCATGGCCCTATCTCGGAGGCTTTGGGAAAGACCAGCCTCTGAAAAAGAACGAAAAGAGTTTCGCATTCATAAATTGTAATGCATATATGAGATGATATATTTATCCCACGACTTGCCCTGGAGCCCCCACAGAGCACCACAGGTACGAACAGGGGAATGTCAGTTGCAAGGTACCTCTAGCATACAAACAATCCTAGACCTGTGAGGTATCGCCCTTGGAAGGAAGAATTCACCTTATTCCAATGATCTATCACAATGGAGCTAAAACTACTCCCAGATCTCCCATTGTAATCGCTGGATACTGGGCTCTATGTTCACCCCGTTCGTTCCTATGGCGTCCCCGTAATGATTCCTCGATAACTTTTGTTTCCGGTCCGCTCGGTCCAATATCCAGTCACTAAGTGACCGCTGTTACAGACGATATTGCTTCTTTACTAAAAAAACGCAAACGCTTTGGCAAGGCTCTCCTCCTAATAGAGGACATGTTTTTGCAACGGCGCCCCCGAATAAAGAACGTAGTAAACACCACGTGGCAACGAAAAAAGGGAGGCTGCAGGTAACGTATTTCAAGTTGAAGGGGAGAGTTAGCGGCAAATTTCGATCGATCAGGCATTTTGAAGGATTCCCAGGCAGATATAATCGAGTGGGGGGGTCCAGCGATGTTGAGCTCTACCCCTCCACCCCCGGGCAAGCCACTGGACAACACGGGTATGATATACGACCCCAGTATGGCCTCCGGACCCTCATACTCTCCCCGCAGCACTAGAACTCCCCTCAAGGGCTGTCTTCATTATCCAACTTCTAACTATAGGATGTATTCGCACCTGGTGCCCCGCGCTGTAAACCTGAACTGGCGACAGGGAACCCAGAGACAGGGAGGACGCTTTCCACAGTTTTTTTCCATAGGGATGGGGCTCATCCTGAGATTGGTGCTGGGGTGGTATCGCCACAGGTGGGGCAAAGGAAGCCATAACCAGGATTTGCCTATTAGAGAGAGAAACTAACGCCTGTTACCATTAGCTAACCCTTCTCCGCGGATATTAAGGCAGCAACCTCAGAGGGAAACAGTACTCTACTGATACCTCTCCGGAAAAATGACGGAAGACGAGGTACAATATGAGAGGGGTAGGTCGGGATTCGTCTCCAAGTAGAGCTCCTCGCGAGATCCTGATCCCACACCTTGCCCAATCTTATTTGGGATGAGAAAGTCCTGGGCGGGCGATCGGGGGCACAGAAGCTAGTGCCGGCCACCAAACAATGGGTGATACGCCACGATAGCAGTTACAAGGTGCGGAGGTACTGATAGGAGGGGCCACCCCAGCTCCCTCAACCTCTGCCCCGTCCGGACTGTCCGGGCGCTTCTCCAGCATCGGAGGATCGCCTGTATGAGGCAAAGAATACCTAGCGCTGAGAGGGAACTGATTGCCACCGCACAGATTGTGTAGGTGGAGTTATCGTGAAAGCGTAGGCAAACCCCTCTCCACTGTGTTCTTGAGTAAAGCCTATCCTGACTGCAAAAAAAGGAACAAGGGGCGGACCAGGTTTAAAACATATTCCAGATGGTGGCGAATTATCTTTGGTGTTGATCGGATTCCGCAGGTAAAGCGCTATTTTCTCAGCTGTAGTGAGAGGGAGGGGTCCTAGTGGCGGCCAAGAACGGCTTCGATTTACCAGGGGAAGTCTATCGGATATAGGAGCTAGTGCGGAAATAATCCGGTGCGTCACCCTGCCCTACAGAACCGGCGCCGCATGGCGAACTGCGGGAAACGACACCAGGAAGGTAAAATGCGGGAAAAATGGCGTTTTCCTGCTTATAATTGGATGCCAAGTTAATCGTGTCCTTTCCTCGGGTTCTATCCAAGTCAAGAACTCTTAGCAAAAATAGGTCAGTGGTGATACCCATGATTTTTTCAAGGAGGTCGGCTCGCGGTACCTGGTAAGCTTACGATGCGTTATGCTATCGCACGCAATTGTACCCAGTAGCAACTTAAACTACGGCAAACATGCCTTTCTATCAAAGCGAGTGATACACTATGATTCTAAGCTCTATCTTTGGCGGGGGTCGCCTCATAGTAGTATGCAGTGGTGGTCAACACCACATGCAACACCTAGGCATAGGAAAGAGCCCAGAAAAGGTGGCAAATTCTTGGAAAACTTCCCAAAAAAGGTTGAAATTTTGGTTGCCACGACTGCCGATCGAGATTGGGAAGAAATTCCCAGGAGTAGGAAATAATCTTGGTCGCCGATGATGTTGAAAATCACCTGTTTTACGGTTCTGAAAAGAGCCCTGCTAGGAGGATTTGAGCAAAAATTGCATGAAGAGAAAAAACTGATTTGTACCACAGTCTTCCCCTCTTCCCAGTCCAGTCCTTAAGCTACATGCATCGTTTGAAACCTGACCATGGCGGTTCATGAC